GTAGTTCAGCTCAGGTATATCTAGTTCTGCTCAGGTATATCTAGTTCAGCTCAGGTATATCTAGTTCTGCTCAGGTATATCTAGTTCTGCTCAGGTAGTTCAGCTCAGGTATATCTAGTTCTGCTCAGGTATATCTAGTTCTGCTCAGGTAGTTCAGCTCAGGTATATCTAGTTCTGCTCAGGTATATCTAGTTCTGCTCAGGTATATCTAGTTCTGCTCAGTATATCTAGTTCAGCTCAGGTATATCTAGTTCTGCTCAGGTATATCTAGTTCTGCTCAGGTATATCTAGTTCAGCTCAGGTATATCTAGTTCTGCTCAGGTATATCTAGTTCTGCTCAGGTAGTTCAGCTCAGGTATATCTAGTTCAGCTCAGGTATATCTAGTTCTGCTCAGGTATATCTAGTTCAGCTCAGGTATATCTAGTTCTGCTCAGGTATATCTAGTTCAGCTCAGGTATATCTAGTTCAGCTCAGGTATATCTGGTTCAGCTCAGGTATATCTGGTTCAGCTCAGGTATATCTAGTTCTGCTCAGGTATATCTAGTTCTGCTCAGGTAGTTCAGCTCAGGTATATCTAGTTCTGCTCAGGTATATCTAGTTCAGCTCAGGTATATCTAGTTCAGCTCAGGTAGTTCAGCTCAGGTATATCTAGTTCAGCTCAGGTATATCTAGTTCTGCTCAGGTAGTTCAGCTCAGGTATATCTAGTTCAGCTCAGGTATATCTGTTATTCTCAGGTATATCTAGTTCAGCTCAGGTATATCTAGTTCAGCTCAGGTATATCTAGTTCAGCTCAGGTATATCTAGTTCTGCTCAGGTATATCTAGTTCTGCTCAGGGTTCAGCTCAGGTATATCTAGTTCAGCTCAGGTATATCTAGTTCTGCTCAGGTAGTTCTGCTCAGGTATATCTAGTTCTGCTCAGGTATATCTAGTTCTGCTCAGGTATATCTAGTTCTGCTCAGGTATATCTAGTTCAGCTCAGGTATATCTAGTTCAGCTCAGGTATATCTAGTTCTGCTCAGGTATATCTAGTTCTGCTCAGGTAGTTCAGCTCAGGTATATCTAGTTCTGCTCAGGTATATCTAGTTCTGCTCAGGTAGTTCAGCTCAGGTATATCTAGCTGCTCAGGTATATCTAGTTCAGCTCAGGTATATCTAGTTCTGCTCAGGTATATAGTTCTGCTCAGTAGTTCAGCTCAGGTATATTAGTTCTGCTCAGGTATATCTAGTTCTGCTCAGGTAGTTCAGCTCAGGTATATCTAGTTCTGCTCAGGTATATCTAGTTCAGCTCAGGTATATCTAGTTCTGCTCAGGTATATCTAGTTCAGCTCAGGTATATCTAGTTCTGCTCAGGTATATCTAGTTCTGCTCAGGTATATCTAGTTCAGCTCAGGTATATCTAGTTCTGCTCAGGTATATCTAGTTCAGCTCAGGTATATCTAGTTCTGCTCAGGTATATCTAATTCAGCTCAGGTATATCTAGTTCAGCTCAGGTATATCTAGTTCTGCTCAGGTATATCTAGTTCTGCTCAGGTATATCTAGTTCAGCTCAGGTATATCTAGTTCTGCTCAGGTATATCTAGTTCAGCTCAGGTATATCTAGTTCTGCTCAGGTATATCTAGTTCTGCTCAGGTATATCTAGTTCAGCTCAGGTATATCTAGTTCTGCTCAGGTATATCTAGTTCAGCTCAGGTATATCTAGTTCTGCTCAGGTATATCTAGTTCAGCTCAGGTATATCAGTTCAGCTCAGGTATATCTAGTTCTGCTCAGGTATATCTGTTCTGCTCAGGTATATCTAGTTCAGCTCAGGTATATCTAGTTCAGCTCAGGTATATCTAGTTCAGCTCAGGTATATCTAGTTCTGCTCAGGTATATCTAGTTCTGCTCAGGTAGTTCAGCTCAGGTATATCTAGTTCAGCTCAGGTATATCTAGTTCTGCTCAGGTAGTTCAGCTCAGGTATATCTAGTTCAGCTCAGGTATATCTAGTTCAGCTCAGGTATATCTAGTTCTGCTCAGGTATATCTAGTTCAGCTCAGGTATATCTAGTTCAGCTCAGGTATATCTAGTTCAGCTCAGGTATATCTAGTTCTGCTCAGGTATATCTAGTTCTGCTCAGGTATATCTAGTTCTGCTCAGGTAGTTCAGCTCAGGTATATCTAGTTCTGCTCAGGTATATCTAGTTCAGCTCAGGTATATCTAGTTCTGCTCAGGTATATCTAGTTCTGCTCAGGTAGTTCAGCTCAGGTATATCTAGTTCTGCTCAGGTATATCTAGTTCAGCTCAGGTATATCTAGTTCTGCTCAGGTATATCTAGTTCAGCTCAGGTATATCTAGTTCTGCTCAGGTATATCTAGTTCTGCTCAGGTAGTTCAGCTCAGGTATATCTAGTTCTGCTCAGGTATATCTAGTTCTGCTCAGGTAGTTCAGCTCAGGTATATCTAGTTCTGCTCAGGTATATCTAGTTCAGCTCAGGTATATCTAGTTCTGCTCAGGTATATCTAGTTCAGCTCAGGTATATCTAGTTCTGCTCAGGTATATCCTGTTCTGCTCAGGTATATCTAGTTCAGCTCAGGTATATCTAGTTCTGCTCAGGTATATCTAATTCAGCTCAGGTATATCTAGTTCTGCTCAGGTATATCTAATTCAGCTCAGGTATATCTAGTTCAGCTCAGGTATATCTAGTTCTGCTCAGGTATATCTAGTTCTGCTCAGGTATATCTAGTTCAGCTCAGGTATATCTAGTTCTGCTCAGGTATATCTAATTCAGCTCAGGTATATCTAGTTCTGCTCAGGTATATCCTGTTCTGCTCAGGTATATCTAGTTCAGCTCAGGTATATCTAGTTCTGCTCAGGTATATCTAATTCAGCTCAGGTATATCTAGTTCTGCTCAGGTATATCTAGTTCTGCTCAGGTATATCCAGTTCAGCTCAGGTATATCCTGTTCTGCTCAGGTATATCTAGTTCTGCTCAGGTATATCTAGTTCAGCTCAGGTATATCTAGTTCAGCTCAGGTATATCTAGTTCAGCTCAGGTATATCTAGTTCTGCTCAGGTATATCTAGTTCTGCTCAGGTAGTTCAGCTCAGGTATATCTAGTTCAGCTCAGGTATATCTAGTTCTGCTCAGGTAGTTCAGCTCAGGTATATCTAGTTCAGCTCAGGTATATCTAGTTCAGCTCAGGTATATCTAGTTCAGCTCAGGTATATCTAGTTCTGCTCAGGTATATCTAGTTCAGCTCAGGTATATCTAGTTCAGCTCAGGTATATCTAGTTCAGCTCAGGTATATCTAGTTCTGCTCTGGTATATCTAGTTCTGCTCAGGTATATCTAGTTCTGCTCAGGTAGTTCAGCTCAGGTATATCTAGTTCTGCTCAGGTATATCTAGTTCAGCTCAGGTATATCTAGTTCTGCTCAGGTATATCTAGTTCTGCTCAGGTAGTTCAGCTCAGGTATATCTAGTTCTGCTCAGGTATATCTAGTTCAGCTCAGGTATATCTAGTTCTGCTCAGGTATATCTAGTTCTGCTCAGGTAGTTCAGCTCAGGTATATCTAGTTCTGCTCAGGTATATCTAGTTCAGCTCAGGTATATCTAGTTCTGCTCAGGTAGTTCAGCTCAGGTATATCTAGTTCAGCTCAGGTATATCTAGTTCTGCTCAGGTAGTTCAGCTCAGGTATATCTAGTTCAGCTCAGGTATATCTAGTTCAGCTCAGGTATATCTAGTTCTGCTCAGGTATATCTAGTTCTGCTCAGGTATATCTAGTTCAGCTCAGGTATATCTAGTTCAGCTCAGGTATATCTAGTTCTGCTCAGGTATATCTAGTTCAGCTCAGGTATATCTAGTTCTGCTCAGGTATATCTAGTTCTGCTCAGGTATATCTAGTTCAGCTCAGGTATATCTAGTTCTGCTCAGGTATATCTAGTTCTGCTCAGGTATATCTAGTTCTGCTCAGGTAGTTCAGCTCAGGTATATCTAGTTCTGCTCAGGTATATCTAGTTCTGCTCAGGTAGTTCAGCTCAGGTATATCTAGTTCTGCTCAGGTATATCTAGTTCAGCTCAGGTATATCTAGTTCTGCTCAGGTATATCTAGTTCAGCTCAGGTATATCTAGTTCTGCTCAGGTATATCTAGTTCTGCTCAGGTAGTTCAGCTCAGGTATATCTAGTTCTGCTCAGGTATATCTAGTTCTGCTCAGGTAGTTCAGCTCAGGTATATCTAGTTCTGCTCAGGTATATCTAGTTCTGCTCAGGTAGTTCAGCTCAGGTATATCTAGTTCTGCTCAGGTATATCTAGTTCAGCTCAGGTATATCTAGTTCTGCTCAGGTATATCTAGTTCAGCTCAGGTATATCTAGTTCTGCTCAGGTATATCTAGTTCTGCTCAGGTATATCTAGTTCTGCTCAGGTATATCTAGTTCAGCTCAGGTATATCCTGTTCTGCTCAGGTATATCTAGTTCAGCTCAGGTATATCCTGTTCTGCTCAGGTATATCTAGTTCAGCTCAGGTATATCTAGTTCTGCTCAGGTATATCTAGTTCTGCTCAGGTATATCTAGTTCTGCTCAGGTATATCTGGTTCAGCTCAGGTATATCTAGTTCTGCTCAGGTATATCTAGTTCAGCTCAGGTATATCCTGTTCTGCTCAGGTATATCCTGTTCTGCTCAGGTATATCTAGTTCAGCTCAGGTATATCTAGTTCTGCTCAGGTATATCTAGTTCAGCTCAGGTATATCTAGTTCTGCTCAGGTATATCTAATTCAGCTCAGGTATATCTAGTTCTGCTCAGGTATATCTAGTTCTGCTCAGGTATATCTAGTTCAGCTCAGGTATATCTAGTTCAGCTCAGGTATATCTAATTCAGCTCAGGTATATCTAGTTCAGCTCAGGTATATCTAATTCAGCTCAGGTATATCTAGTTCTGCTCAGGTAGTTCAGCTCAGGTATATCTAGTTCTATCTTTAGATAAGTGAAAAATAATTTTGGATGCAACAAACAGCTAAAGCTATGTACCCTCAGGTGACATGTCCGTTACTTAGCAACCAAGAGAGCAGCGGGGCAGCAGGTGAGGTGGAGGAACCTCAGAGGATCATGGAGAGAAAGAAGAACGAGACGCTGGTGATGAAGGCTCAGATAGAGGGATGGACCTTTCTGCCTCATCAACATGGCAACACAGTCCATGACCATAATCTCCATGACAACTCTAAAGGATGGTAAGACAAACAAGTGTTTACAGACAGGGACGTCTCTTCTTCTTCTTCTCTTAAAGGGACGTCTCTTCTTCTTGTTCATATTTGAAATGAAGTTTGTTCTTCTTCTCCACTCTCACAGGAAGTCATCAGACCTGAAGCTCTCCCAGGCCTGTGATTGGACGATAACAGAGTGGCTGAATCTGGTGTCAGAGTTCCTGCAGCAGGACTCGTCTGAGGCTGTTTTGGACAAAGTGAAGCCTCTTCCCTCAGAGGAGTTTAACTTTTGGAGGAGCAGAGTGAAGAATCTGCAGTCCCTCCAGCAGCAGGTGATGGTCACTAAGGTATAGGGCATCAGTGTAGGTCGCTACAGTGTAGATCACTACAGAGTAGGTCACTCAGCGTAGGTCACTACAGCGCAGGTAACTACAGTGTAGATCACTACAGAGTAGGTCACTAAGGTATAGGTCACTCAGTGTAGGTCACTACAGCGTAGGTCACTACAGCGTAGGTCACTCAGCGTAGGTCACTACAGCGCAGGTAACTACAGTGTAGATCACTACAGAGTAGGTCACTAAGGTATAGGTCACTCAGCGTAGGTCACTACAGCGCAGGTAACTACAGTGTAGATCACTACAGAGTAGGTCACTCAGCGTAGGTCACTACAGCGCAGGTAACTACAGTGTAGATCACTACAGAGTAGGTCACTAAGGTATAGGTCACTCAGTGTAGGTCACTACAGTGTAGGTCACTCAGCGTAGGTCACTACAGTGCAGGTAACTACAGTGTAGATCACTACAGAGTAGGTCACTAAGGTATAGGTCACTCAGCGTAGGTCACTACAGCGCAGGTAACTACAGTGTAGATCACTACAGAGTAGGTCACTCAGTGTAGGTCACTACAGCGTAGGTCACTCAGTGTAGGTCACTACAGCGTAGGTCCCTACAGTGTAGGGCACGGTCACTAGGGTGTAGCTACAGAGTAGATTAGACATAGAAGTGATAACTCTAGTCTATTCATAGCTTTCAGTGACGTCACCAGCGCGGAGGGCTGGAGGGCAAAAAACGCTCAGGAAAGTAATGGCTACTGCAAAGAACTGCATCACAGGCTTTTAATTTAACATATCCTATAAACGACACATGTTTACATCACCTGAAAACCAGAACAAAACTAAGATTTTAAAGGGCCCATATTATGCCCTGAGTCTGGTTGTCATTCGTAACGAAAACCTATTTGTTTAACTTTCATTAAAACATATCTCATGAGTAATTTTGACAATATGATAATACACAAATGGAACAAAGAGGCATTTGTTAGGATACTTTCAGTCTGAAAGTCATCAGTTAACATGGTCACTCTTTGAACCGTAACACAACACTCAATCTTAGTGTTCTGGGGCAGTAATTTGAGTTAACGGCAGGAATATCTAGATTTAGTCAACACTATATTTAATGTCAGGATGAGGAGAAGTCTGATGTTTCCCGTCACAGGGGCCACGGAGGGTCTAACTTTAATCCACAAACGTCCTCCTTTCTGGTTTTTTTCTCAGATTAAATTCTGAAGAAGCAAAACTCGGGCTCGTCTCCTCGCCGGTCAGTGTATCATATTAAACAAGAACTGTATTTCATTTGAAACATGTAAAAATAAAACATATGAAAACACGTAGGGGGCAACAGTAACTTCTCAGTAGCGTTCAGTGGTAGAGAGCCTCCAGGTGGACGGGTCCATTAGAGTGTGACGTCACGTGAAAGCTATGAATAGTTAAATAGAGGAGGACAAACATGGTGGCAGCAGGTGAAGAAATGGATTTGAGAATGTTTCCCATACAACTTGACTTTATTTATCCATATACAGTCACCATCCTAATATGTGTGTGTGTGTGTGTGTGTGTGTGTGTGTGTCTGTGTATGTGTCTGTGTGTGTGTGTGTGTGTGTGTGTGTGTGTGTGTGTGTGTGTGTGTGTGTGTCTGCGCTCAGTTACAGAGCAGCAGGGCTCAGCAGGTGGCGTCCATCGTTCAGCAGACAGGCAACATCTCTTGGTTCACTCTGAGAGATGTTTACAGACGTGTTGAAGAAGGTACAAACAGCTTGTTTAAACACCTGTGAAATAAGTCACCTGACCTCTGACCTCCGTGATGTCATCCCCTCAGGTCTGCAGGAGGCTGAACAGGTGAGTCTTGCTCTGAGTCCCCTGCAAGAGAAGCTGGAGCAGCTGGAGCAGGTGGAGTACCAGCAGGTAGGACACAGAGAGCTACAGTGTGTGTGTGAGAGAACATGCTTAATGTGAGGTCTAAAAACACAAGCCCCGCCCTCTCTGTGTGATTGACAGCTGGGCTCCAACATGGCGGCTGTGATGGAGGGGGTGCATCAGGTGTTGATCCGGTCTGAGGTGTACAGGAGACCAGGCAGACTGATGGTTCTGCTGATCGAGATCTGTAACCTGTTCATCCAGAAGGTACTGACACACACACACACACACACACACACACACACACACACACACAGACACATACACACACACACACATACACAGACAGACACACACACACACACACACACACACACACACACACACACACACATATAGAGACACACAAACTCACACACAGACAAAGGCACAAGGTGTGTGTCTGTGTGTGTGTGTGTCTGTCTGTGTATGTGTGTGTATGTGTGTGTGTGTGTGTGTGTCTGTGTGTGTGTGTGTGTGTGTGTGTGTCTGTGTGTGTTTGGTTTCTTCTCACCGGCTTCTTCTTCTTCTTCTTCTTCTTCTTCTTGACTTTATTTATCCATATACAGTCACCATCCTAATATGTGTGTGGTGTGTGTGTGTGTGTGTGTGTGTGTGTGTGTGTGTGTGTGTGTTCTTCTTCTTCTCCTCCTCCTCCTCCTCAGAGCAGGGACTTCCTGCGTGGAGAGGCGGTGATGCATGGTCTGGTGTCAGAGACTGGTCGGGTCCTGGATGATGTCAGGCTGGTGATCTGGACACTGAAGACAATCAAAGAGGCCAACCTGGAGATTCAGAACCAGGGGGGTGTGCAGATCCCAGCTCAGGTGAGGCTCAGGTGGACCTTACACTGGTGTGACCAATATCCCAGAATAAAATACAGACTCACGCCGCCGCCATCACTCACCAAACACGAGGTGATTGAAAATGGTGTGATACCTAACGATACAGAGCAGGCTGAACATCTTCTCTCCGTCATGAGGTCGTCATGGTGCATTTAAAGTAAAACTTGTGATTTAAAAGACTCCAATATTAACGAGGTGCCAGCAGAGTCGGGCAGCGAACTTTAAAACTGAGAGCTCGACTACCGTACTGTAGCTAGCAGGATTACACACTCCACACAGCCGTTGTGTTCTTTAAGGGATACTTCACCATGAAACATGAATCTGTTTTGACTTTGGGTCATATATGTAGAAATGTGAAATACATTTTGAAGTTGATGCCTTCTTGAACGAGAAAAGACAGAAAGTGTCTTTTTGGCTCATGTTGATGAAAGACACCAAATCCCAGAATGCACAGCACCGCAGGCCACTCCCACTAAGGTCCTCTATTTCAGAATCAGAAATACTTTATTAATCCCAGAGGGAAATTCGATGGTTACAGTTTCTCAGTATAGCAGTAGAAATATAGTGATAAAAACATTTACAGACATATTTACTTCAACACATAAACAGACTCTATGTCTGTGTCCAAACAGTGAGAGCACCGACACTACCAGTCCGCCCCGGCTCGATACAAAGCTTAATGCAAATGGATGAACTGGACATGATAGAAATCATCACTCAGGAAGTCAGTTGAGATCTTTTTTCTTTCTGGGAAACCCCCAAAACAGACTGCGCCTTAAATACCGGTGCCACTTATATTCAGGACTTTACAGTAAAAAACATCTTTATTATTACCTTTGAAAATAAATGTTTGACTCTGAAGAACTCTGTGGTACACATTATGATGAGAGCAGGGGGGGGGCAGTGATGCTGCACTTTGGGGGGGTCCAGAGTCAGCTTGGTGGTTGAGATGTGAAGACCGTCACAGAGATGGCTGTGGGTCTCACATCGTTACATTGGTTGTGTTTGTGTGGCGCCTCACCAGGGGAAACTTGAGAATCTTCATTCTGATCAGTTGATCAGTTAAGACTCTCATCGCCTTCTTCTGTTTCTGTGACCAGAGAGATGTGATCACAGACGCTTCTAGCTCACAGGATGGCCTTTGGAGAGGCACAATTGATTTTGGACCGCGTGGGGAAGTTGGCATGTTCATGTGTGTGTAAAGCTGCAGACTGGTCTCATATAAAGCGCCTACCTTCTCTGGTCCAAACAAATCCAGAGCATTCAGGAGCAGAATCTAAAGTTAGAAGGAGGACATACTGGCTGCTGCATTGTTGTCAGAGAAGCCAGCACTTCAACATAGCATGTTTCCTTAATGATCAGATAGTAAGATACCTTTATCATCTCACTGAGTGGACCTTTAACACTCACTTTAAGTGTTTGTGAAAGTTGACCACCTTTATCCATAGTCATGGTTTTGTCTTCATTTACTTTGTAAGCTGAAAGGTGACCCAAACGTTCCTCTGAGCAGAACAGATCACTCTTAACACACCTGAGCACAGGAACATCTTTGGAAACATCAAAGTCATTTTATCAAACGTTTGAACTGATGACGCTCTGACTGCAGGATGGAATCACACACTGCTGGAACTCCTCTTCACACCTGTCCTTCATCCACCTGGACATCCTGCTGACACGTCTGCAGAGCATCCAGGTACACACACACACACACACACACACACACACACACACACACACTGCAGGAATAGGATGCCAGCGTGTCAGTGCCTGCTGTAATCCTTAGAGACCGGCTGCTCAGTAGTTTTGTGACTGCTGGTAATGATTTAACTAAACACTGAAAGAAGACTTTTCTTGAAGTGACTCTGTTGTTGTGTGGTGTGGCGCCCCGTGCAGGAGCTCCTGTGTGTCACTCTGCAGCTGAGTCAGTTGGATCAGGTGCTTGTGTCCGGAGTCAGGGGCAGGATGTGGACTGATGAGGTTCAGAATGTGTATCAGGACTTCCTGTGTCATGTGAGGGTCCTGTCTGAGTATACCTGTGACCCCACCGACCCTGGCGACAAGGTGACCGCCAGCTTACACGTGTGAGGTACTTCCTGTTTTTACTCAGTGCTGTGTGTGTGACTGCCCTTCTTCTTCCCTGCAGAGCTTTGAGCTGCTCCTGGACCAGTTTCAGGCTCAGGTGTCGGACCAGGAGAGACGGCTGGTCTCCGTCCTCAGCAGGTCGTTTGCGGAGTGCTGCGTGTCCTCCTCTGCTGCTCAGGTACAAGTCTTTCACCGTCACGCTCCAATGACTGCTGGCTCGGTTTGTTTTGATACCAAACTCTAAACTTTGAGACGATTCTAGTAAAGGTCAAAGGTCAAAGGATACCTGTTGGATACCACGGCAACAAGACACCGAATACTGAGTCATTTCTTGTTTTTAAAGGAGATCTATTCTACTGATTTAAATAAATATAATGTTATGATATACTAAATCTCGGCACAGTCTGAACAAGACGTAACAGAAACCTTGCGAGATTCGTATCAGAGCAAAGCGTGGAGCAAGGTTGTAGGACACGCCCACGCCGGGCTCTTTCAAGGACACGCCCTCTGGAAGTGCACTCTCATGTCCCTGTGACTGCAAAGAGAGCTGGTCAATCAATTGTAAGGGTGAAAATCTTTAAATCTGGTACTTTTGGTACACTTTGACAATCTTACTCTGATCTGGTCTGTGTTTCAGTTGTTACAGATATTTGGATTCCTCCTGGACCGTCCTCTGGTCCAGGACGAGCTGCTTCCTCAGCTGGGGAGGCTGGTCAAGCTGGTCCTGATGGAGCTGGATCAGACGAAGCTCCTGTTCTACACTGAGAGGGAGAAATCCGAGACCCTCATCAGGTCCAAATCGTCTACTGCAGCTCGACTCTGCTGGACCCGGCAGCTCCAACTGAGAGCTGAAGAGGCTATGAACAGCTACAAGACCGTCCAACACCTGTAAGAGCACACTGAGATATCAACCAACCAATAATCAACCATCTATCACCTGTAAGAACACACTGAGATATCAACCAACCAATAATCAACCATCTAACACCTGTAAGAACACACTGAGATATCAACCAATCAACCATCTAACACCTGTAAGAACACACTGAGATATCAACCAATCAACCATCTAACACCTGTAAAAACACACTGAGATATCAACCAATCAACCATCTAACACCTGTAAGAACACACTGAGATATCAACAATCAACAATCAACCATCTAACACCTGTAAGAACACACTGAGATATCAACCAATCAACCATCTAACACCTGTAAGAGCACACTGAGATATCAACAATCAACAATCAACCATCTAACACCTGTAAGAACACACTGAGATATCAACCAATCAACCATCTAACACCTGTAAGAACACACTGAGATATCAACAATCAACAATCAACCATCTAACACCTGTAAGAACACACTGAGATATCAACCAATCAACAATCAACCATCTAACACCTGTAAGAACACACTGAGATATCAACAATCAACCATCTAACACCTGTAAGAACACACTGAGATATCAACCAATCAACCATCTAACACCTGTAAGAACACACTGAGATATCAACCAATCAACCATCTAACACCTGTAAGAACACGCTGAGATATCAACCAATCAACCATCTAACACCTGTAAGAACATGCTGAGATATCAACCAATCAACCATCTAACACCTGTAAGAACACACTGAGATATCAACAATCAACCATCTAACACCTGTAAGAACACACTGAGATATCAACCAATCAACCATCTAACACCTGTAAGAACACACTGAGATATCAACCAATCAACCATCTAACACCTGTAAGAACACACTGAGATATCAACCAATCAACCATCTAACACCTGTAAGAACACACTGAGATATCAACCAATCAACCATCTAACACCTGTAAGAACACACTGAGATATCAACAATCAACAATCAACCATCTAACACCTGTAAGAACACACTGAGATATCAACAATCAACCATCTAACACCTGTAAGAACACACTGAGATATCAACCAATCAACCATCTAACACCTGTAAGAACACACTGAGATATCAACAATCAACCATCTAACACCTGTAAGAACACACTGAGATATCAACCAATCAACCATCTAACACCTGTAAGAACACACTGAGATATCAACAATCAACAATCAACCATCTAACACCTGTAAGAACACACTGAGATATCAACAATCAACCATCTAACACCTGTAAGAACACACTGAGATATCAACCAATCAACCATCTAACACCTGTAAGAACACACTGAGATATCAACAATCAACCATCTAACACCTGTAAGAACACACTGAGATATCAACAATCAACCATCTAACACCTGTAAGAACACACTGAGATATCAACCAATCAACCATCTAACACCTGTAAGAACACACTGAGATATCAACCAATCAACAATCAACCATCTAACACCTGTAAGAACACACTGAGATATCAACCAATCAACAATGGTAATGGTACACATGGTAATGACTTGACCTCATTGTGTCTGACAGGTTTGTGTGTGTGTGTGTGTGTGTGACTCCAACCTCAGCTAACACTGTAAGAACACACTGAGATATCAACAATCAACCATCTAACACCTGTAAGAACACACTGAGATATCAACAATCAACCATCTAACACCTGTAAGAACACACTGAGATATCAACAATCAACCATCTAACACCTGTAAGAACACACTGAGATATCAACCAATCAACATCTAACACCTGTAGAACAACCAACCAATCAACAATCAACACCTGTAAGAACACACTGAGATATCAACCAATCAACAATGGTAATGGTACACATGGTAATGACTTGACCTCATGTGGTCTGACAGGTTTTGTGTTGTGTGTGTGTGTGTGTGACTGTGTGTGTGTGTGTGTTGTGTTGTGTCCAGGTGTGCGGGCTCAGCTGAAGGTCAGCTGGTTGATCAAAGGTTCCAGGAGCTGGCTGACCTCCTGCAGGTGTTCAGAGACGCAGGTGAGCACAGAGAGGATCAGTCAGCTGGACTTGGACTGTGGATTCATTCTGGATCAACCGCTCATACAGCACACTGTGCAAGGCATGCTGGGAGTCAGCTGCAGCCAGCAGGTCAGTAGGTCTCTCCGTGCTGCTTGTTGCGACTGTGTGTGTCTGACTGTGTGTGTGTGACTATGTGTGTGTGTGTGTGTGTGTGTGTGTGTGTCTGACTGTGTGTGTGTGACTGTGTGTGTTCTGACTGTGTGTGTCTGACTGTGTGTGTCTGACTGTGAGTGTGTCCTGACTGTGTGTGTGTGACTGTGTGTGTGTGTGTGTGTCTGACTGTGTGTGTGACTGTGTGTGTGTGACTGTGTGTGTCTGACTGTGAGTGTGACTGTGTGTGTGTGACTGTGTGTGTGTGTGTCTGACTGTGTGTGTGTGACTGTGTGTGTGACTGTTTGTGTGTCTGACTGTGTGTGTGTGACTGTGTGCGTGACTGTGTGTGTGTGACTGTGTGTGTGTTGTGTGTCTGACTGTGTGTGTGTCTGTGTGTGTCTGACTGTGTGTGTGTGTCTGACTGTGTGTGTGACTGTGTGTGTGTGTCTGTGTGTGTGTTTGTGTGTGACTGACTGTGTGTGTATGTGTGTGACTGTGTGTGTCTGACTGTGTGTGTGTGTGTCTGACTGTGTGTGTGACTGTGTGTGTGTGTCTGTGTGTGTGTTTGTGTGTGACTGACTGTGTGTGTATGTGTGTGACTGTGTGTGTGACTGTGTGTCTGACTCTGTGTGCGTGTGTGTGACTGTGTGTGTGACTGTGTGTGCTGACTGTGTGTGTCTGACTGTGTGTGTGTGTGTGTGTGTGTGTGTGTGTGTCTGACTGTGTGTGTGTGTGTGTGTGACTGTGTGTCTGACTGTGTGTGTGTGACTGTGTGTGTGTGCGTGTGACTGTGTGTGTGTGACTGTGTGTGTGTGACTGTGTGTGTGTGACTGTGTGTGTGTGTGTCTGACTGTGTGTGTGTGACTGTGTGTCTGACTGTGTGTGTGTGACTGTGTGTGTGTGTGTGTGACTGTGTGTGTGTGTGTGTCTGACTGTGTGTGTGTGTGTGTGTGTGTGACTGTGTGTCTGACTGTGTGTGTCTGACTGTGTGTGTGTGTGTGTGTGTGTGTGACTGTGTGTCTGACTGTGTGTGTGTGACTGTGTGTGTGTGTGTGTGTCTGACTGTGTGTGTGTGTGTGTGACTGTGTGTCTGACTGTGTGTGTCTGACTGTGTGTGTGACTGTGTGTGTGTGCGTGTGACTGTGTGTGTGTGACTGTGTGTGTGTGACTGTGTGTGTGTGTGTCTGACTGTGTGTGTGTGTGTGTGTGTGTGTGACTGTGTGTCTGACTGTGTGTGTGTGACTGTGTGTGTGACTGTGTGTGTGTGTGTGTCTGACTGTGTGTGTGTGTGTGTGTGTGTGTGTGACTGTGTGTCTGACTGTGAGTGTGTCTGACTGTGTGTGTGTGTGTGTGACTGTGTGTGCCTGACTGTGTGTGTGTGTGTGTGTCTGACTGTGTGTGTGTGTGTGTGTGTGTGTGTGACTGTGTGTGTGTGACTGTGTGTGTCTGACTGTGTGTGTCTGACTGTGAGTGTGTCTGACTGTGTGTGTGTGACTGTGTGTGTGTGTGTGTGTCTGACTGTGTGTGTGACTGTGTGTGTGTGACTGTGTGTGTCTGACTGTGAGTGTGACTGGTGTGTGTGACTGTGTGTGTGTGTCTGACTGTGTGTGTGTGACTGTGGTGTGTGACTGTTTGTGTGTCTGACTGTGTGTGTGTGACTGTGTGCGTGACTGTGTGTGTGTGACTGTGTGTTGTGTGGTGGTGTGTGTCTGACTGTGTGTGTGTCTGTGTGTGTCTGACTGTGTGTGTGTGTCTGACTGTGTGTGTGACTGTGTGTGTGTGTCTGTGTGTGTTGTGTGTGTGACTGACTGTGTGTGTATGTGTGTGACTGTGTGTGTGTGACTGTGTCTGACTGTGTGTGTGTGTGTGTGTTGTGATGTGTGTGTGTGTGTGACTGTGTGTCTGACTGTGTGTGTGTGTGTGTGACTGTGTGTGGACTGTGTGTCTGACTCTGTGTGCGTGTGTGTGACTGTGTGTGTGACTGTGTGTGCCTGACTGTGTGTGTCTGACTGTGTGTGTGTGTGTGTGTGTGTGTGTGTGTGTGTCTGACTGTGTGTGTGTGTGTGTTGACTGTGTGTCTGACTGTGTGTGTGTGACTGTGTGTGTGTGTGTGACTGTGTGTGTGTGACTGTGTGTGTGTGACTGTGTGTGTGTGACTGTGTGTGTGTGTGTCTGACTGTGTGTGTGTGACTGTGTGTCTGACTGTGTGTGTGTGTGACTGTGTGTGTGTGACTGTGTGTGTGTGTGGGTCTGACTGTGTGTGTGTGTGTGTGTGTGTGACTGTGTGTCTGACTGTGTGTGTCTGACTGTGTGTGTGTGTGTGTGTGTGTGTGACTGTGTGTCTGACTGTGTGTGTGTGACTGTGTGTGTGTGACTGTGTGTGTGTGTGTGTCTGACTGTGTGTGTGTGTGTTGACTGTGTTGTCTGACTGTGTGTGTCTGACTGTGTGTGTGTGACTGTGTGTGTGTGTGTGTGTGTGTGTGTGTGTGTGTGACTGTGTGTCTGACTGTGTGTCTGACTGTGTGTGTCTGACTGTGTGTGTCTGACTGTGTGTGTGTGTGTCCAGTTGAGGGCAGCACTGAGGGAGCTCAGGTATGCGAGCAGGGAGACAGATTTAATGCTCCACCCCCACGCTGCTCGACTCTTCACCTGCAGAGATGACATCACACAGAGCTACCTGAAACTGAGTGACATGGTGTCCTGCTACAACCAGGTACACTATGCTCTTTACCGCACCTTACCTGGCCAGGTGAGAATATTGTAGGTCATGTGACAGACTGTGGTCCTCCTTCAGGTTCTGAGTGATGCCCTGCAGGTGGAACTTCCTCTGATCCAGGACCAGCTTGAGGAGCTGAAGCAGCACCTGTCCGAGCTGCAGAGGAACACCTGGAGATCTGGAGGTATGACATCACGTGACACACTTATTACCTATGAAGTCATAAGGTACAGGTAGACCGACCACGAGCGACCCGAGTGTAGAACGATGGTTTCTGCTCCTGTAGGAGACACGAGTTCATCTGATATTTATATCTATTTATTTTTTACAGAACTCTCATTTATTATGTTCTGTTTGTTGTGTGAGTATTAAATGTGTTTGTAGGCTGTTGGTAACGGCTCCGGCTCACTATGTGGACTGGTAGATCTCTGCAGACTGGGAACTTTAAAAGTAGATCTTGGTTCAAAAAAGGTTGGGCACCCCTGCCTTAAAGAAATCATCAACAGATTTTATCCACTTATATAAACACGTGGTTATTGTTCATTTGACTGAGTTTGTGTGTGTGCGTGTGCGTGTGCGTGTGCGTGTGTGTTCAGGTCTGCAGCTGCTGGTAGAGCAGCAGACAGAGCGAGTTTTGATCTTCCACTCCACAGTGAGCGAAGCCAGAGCCAACATGGACGCCATGACACACATCATACAGGTAAGAGTGTGTGTGTGTGTGTGTGTTTCCTTCACTGCAGCTGAACACACACACACACATAGAGGAGGTTGTGTCCTAAACATGTTGTTGGCTGTGTATTAGAGTTGAGTTTGTTTTAGTCCTAAATCAGTGTGAGCAGTCATACTGGAGATAAAGACACATGACGTTCTCCACTCCACACACCAACATGACACTTCAGGTTCACAGAGCGGCATGTCATCAGAATGAATATTAGACGACATCATCCAGAGGAGCCAATCACTGAGCTTCTCTGGATGTGTGAGCAGACTGGCTCTTTGACCTCTCACCTGTTCCAACTGAACCTCCACATGACTCTGGTCTGCTTCCTAACATCTCTGTGTTGCTGCACCTTTAGGGCTGGGCGGAGCTTCACCTGCTGCAGCGCTCAGGTGACTCCCTGCTGGTGGGCGGAGCTACAGAGCAGAGCTGCAGAGGCCTCAGAGAGGAGGGACAGCAGCTGCTCAGGTTAACACAGGTAAACACAAGTAACAGCTGAGGATCAGGTGGGGGGGGGGGGGGGGGGTGAGTCAGGGGCTGATGTGACCATGTGTGGGTGCTCAGGTGAACAGGAGTCTGTATGGAGTTCAGGACTCCTCCGAGACCTGGATCAGATACCTGGACCACATTGATGACAAAGTCCAGGAAGGCCTGCTGCAGCTGCTGCTCAGAACGCTTCACTTCCTGTCCGACAACATGAACCCACAGGTACACAAAGCTGGGAACACCTGTGTCCTTCACTTAATGTGAACAGTGACTCCTACAGACCACAAGGGGGCACAATGTGTCAAGGTAATGTTTGCCAATGTAGACCTAACAGCGGAGCTCTCACCACAGCTGAACCGTTTATCGTCTGACATAAGAATTACTGTGTGTGTGTTTGCAATGGTCACATCGCAGGCACTTATCTGTTGTTTGATACAAACAGGAGACGCTGCTACTCTCACAGATACTCATTGTGTGTGTGTGTGTGTGTGTGTGTGTGTGTGTGTGGTGTGTGTGTGTGCAGAGCAGCAGTGGTGCATTATTGGCGATCAGTCTGCAGCTGCAGGAAACAGGAAGTGTGTTTGAGCCGTCAGTGGGCGTCGGCCTCCCTGACCTGCTGAAGAGCATCATCAATGATATTTATGCAGCAGCCAGTCTACCGCCCGGGGCTCTCTGTGAATCGCCATGGCAACTACCAGGTTACTCTGACATCACACTGGGTGGCAGTAGCTCAGTCTGTAGGGACTTGGGTTGGGAACCAGAGGGTCACCGGTTCAAGTCCCGGTGCTGACCAAGCTTGGAAGTTGGTCTGGTAGCTGGAGAAGTGCCAGATCACCTCCTGAGCACCGCCAAGGTGCCCTTGAGCAAGGCACCAAACCCCCTCCCCACCACCAGCTCAGGAGCGCCCACTGTGGGCTGCTCCGTCACTCTGACATCTCTCCTTAGTGCATGTCCATAGGATCCTGTTTGTGTGTGTGTCTGTATATATATACTTCAGCCTATGTGTGTGTTCATGGCTACAGAGTGTAAAAACTGAAATTTCCCTTGCAGGGATTAATAAAGTAAATCTTCTTCTTCACTCATTCAGTAATAACTCGTCTACTCTAATTCTGATAGCGAGACACTTTACCTTTATCCTTTATCCTGGTCTGTCTGTCTGTCTGTGTGTGTCTGTCTGTCTGTGTGTCTGTCTGTCTGACTCTGTCTGTCTGTCTGTGTGTCTGTCTGTCTGTATCTGTCTGAGTGTCTGTGTGTGTCTGTCTGTCTGTATCTGTCTGACTGTATGTGTGTGTCTGTCTATCTGTCTGTGTGTGTGTCTGTCTGACTGTATCTGTCTGTCTGTCTATCTGTCTGTCTGTGTGTGTCTGTCTGTCTGTCTCTGTCTGAGTGTCTGAGTGTCTGTCTGTATCTGTCTGACTGTCTGTCTGTGTGTGTCTGTGTCTGTCTGTCTGTATCTGTCTGACTGTATCTGTCTGTCTGTCTGGTGTGTGTGTCTGTCTATCTGTCTGTTGTGTGTCTGTCTGTGTGTGTGTGTCTGTCTGACTGTATCTGTCTGAGTGTCTGTCTGACTGTATCTGTCTGAGTGTCTGTCTGACTGTATCTGTCTGACTGTCTGTGTGTGTGTCTGTCTGTGTGTGTCTGTCTATCTGTCTGTGTCTGTGTGTCTGTGTCTGTCTGTCTGTCTGTCTGTATCTGTCTAAATGTCTGTCTGACTGTCTGTCTGTCTGTGTGTCTGTGGTCTGTCTGTATGTATCTGTCTGTCTGTATCTGTCTAAATGTCTGTCTGACTGTCTGTCTGTGTGTCTGTGTGTCTGTCTGTATGTATCTGTCTGACTGTATCTGTCTAAATGTCTGTCTGACTGTCTGTCTGTGTGTCTGTGTGTCTGTCTGTATGTATCTGTCTGACTGTATCTGTCTAAATGTCTGTCTGTCTGTCTGTCTGTGTGTCTGTGTGTCTGTCTGTCTGTATGTATCTGTCTGACTGTATCTGTCTAAATGTCTGTCTGACTGTCTGTCTGTGTGTCTGTGTGTCTGTCTGTATGTATCTGTCTGACTGTATCTGTCTAAATGTCTGTGTGTCTGTGTGTCTGTGTGTCTGTGTGTCTGTGTCTGTCTGTCTGTCTGTCTGTATCTGTCTAAATGTCTGTCTGACTGTCTGTCTGTCTGTGTGTCTGTCTGACTGTCTGTCTCTGTCCAGGTGTCCCTGCAGCAGCGTCCTGCTCTCTGTGAACTGGAACAGGAAGTGATGTCACACCTGGTTCAGGTGAGGAAGGAGGCGGAGCATTTGAGGGCAAAGCTTGACAGGTACTCGTATTTGTGGGAGAGCGACAGGAGGGGGGTGATGGAGGATTTCCTGACGTACGGCAGACAGCTAGAAGCTGACGAGCTGGAGGCTGAGGTTACTCCGCCCACCCTAAAGGACTTCAGGAGAGAGGTGAGACACACCTGTGCAGGTGTTCTTTCTGTCAGACATGAATTATTAGTCTTTACTGCATCTACCTGTGAGGGCTCTTTATTTCCTGGTAGTAATCTCACCTGAGCACATGAACAGGTCAACCAGATGTCCAGGTAGACCTGTAGGTGTGATTACAGCAGCAGATTGATGCTCACCTGTGTCTCCCAAATCTGAGATCAACACACTGTGACCTCAGCTAGCGCCCCCTGCTGTCTCTAAACCTTCATGTTCCTGTTTCAGATCGAGTCCCTTCAAACACTCAGCACTGAGGTGGCTCACCTGGATGATGTCATCACTCTGCTCGGCTGGCTCCAGGTCAACCTCCAACCTTTCAGAGAGTCCCTGCTGTCAGTCATTAACGTCTGGAAACACATGTACACCGGGTACCTGCTGGACTCACTCACAGACAGGTAAACTCACCTGAGACCAGCTGGACTCACTCACAGACAGGTAACCTCACCTGTGTTTTTGTGTGTTCAGTGTGCAGCAGGTGAGTCAGCGTGGTAACGATGATGAAGAGTCGTCCTCCTCCTCCTTCTGTCTGACAGAAAGCGTGGTCCTGCTGGAGGCTGCAGGAGTGCAGCTTCCTGAGCACCTGGCAGCTCAGATACAGGTAGTGACATCAGTGACATCACTGCTCACCTGCAGACAGGCTGTATGTTGTGTGATGTTCAGTCTTTGTGCTGCTTGAATACAAGAAAGTCTTTCTCATGTTACAAACCTGACCAATCACAATCATTGTATTTCAAACTCCCACTGTAGTCCCGCCCACACCTGTTCTGAGACAGAAAGTCACGTGATGCTGAAAGATACCTGTCTTAAATGTGTTAATACTTACCGTCTGTGTGCACAGGTACATCATGATGATGTCATCACTGTACCTGTGCACACACCTCCTACACTCATCGGTGACCCTGAGATCACTGTGTTGCATTCAGGTGCATCATGTAAATGTAAGTGTCTGACCTGTAAACTGTTTGTGTTTCAGTGTTGATGATCTGAAGAGGAAGCAGAAGACATTGAACACATCGCAGGAGCAGCAGTGACAAACGCCACGCTGATGATGAATGTCTTGAGGTGAATTAAAGTGAGCAGCTTGAAGATTATCGCTGAGGTTTCTGTGTTTCATTCAGGGTGGAAGTGGTTCACATCCATCCTCGTTTGTTTTGATTTATTCAAGAAGAGTAATTCAAAGAGTCAGGAAAACAAAAAACTATCTCTAAGTAAATCAAGTAAAAGATTCAATAATAAAATAACATTCAGTCAAAAAAAACAGATGCAGACATGAAGAATCTTTAAATAGAGGGGGAAAGTTTTTATAAAATTCTAACATTTCTTACTGTATCTCTAAATTAACTGATTTCATTGATTTGGAAACGCACGTGAAGTGACGTTTTACGTTTAACTTCGCACAGCATTGTGGGAGTTAAAATACAATTCATGTCCTGAAAGGATTCAACCGATCCATACTGCACAAAACCAGGAAGTTAGTATCCATCCTGAAATGATCAGTATACTGAGACGGACCCAAAAACTGACCACTGATCGACCACGAGGGTTCAGAACGACGACCACGAGGGTTCAGACTACTGAACGACCACGAGGGTTCAGAACGACGACCACAAGGGTTCAGACTACTGAACGACCACGAGGGTTCAATCTACTGAACGACCACGAGGGTTCAGACTACTGAACGACCACGAGGGTTCAGACTACTGAACGACCACGAGGGTTCAGTCTACTGAACGACCACGAGGGTTCAGAACGACCACGAGGGTTCAGACTACTGAACGACCACGAGGGTTCAGACTACTGAACGACCACGAGGGTTCAGACTACTGAACGACCACGAGGGTTCAGACTACTGAACGACCACGAGGGTTCAGAACGACCACGAGGGTTCAGACTACTGAACGACCACGAGGGTTCAGAACGACCACGAGGGTTCAGACTACTGAACGACCACGAGGGTTCAGAACGACCACGAGGTTCAGGCTACTGAACGACCACGAGGGTTCAGTCTACTGAACGACCACGAGGGTTCAGACTACTGAACGACCATGAGGGTTCAGACTACTGAACGACCACGAGGGTTCAGAACGACCACGAGGGTTCAGAACGACCACGAGGGTTCAGACTACTGAACGACCACGAGGGTTCAGACTACTGAACGACCACGAGGGTTCAGAACGACCACGAGGGTTCAGAACGACCACGAGGATTCAGTCTACTGAACGACCACGAGGGTTCAGTCTACTGAACGACCACGAGGGTTCAGAACGACCACGAGGGTTCAGACTACTGAACGACCACGAGGGTTCAGACTACTGAACGACCACGAGGGTTCAGTCTACTGAACGACCACGAGGGTTCAGTCTACTGAACGACCACGAGGGTTCAGAACGACCACGAGGGTTCAGAACGACCACGAGGATTCAGTCTACTGAACGACCACGAGGGTTCAGACTACTGAACGACCACGAGGGTTCAGACTACTGAACGACCACGAGGGTTCAGAACGACCACGAGGGTTCAGACTACTGAACGACCACGAGGGTTCAGAACGACCACGAGGGTTCAGGCTACTGAACGACCACGAGGGTTCAGTCTACTGAACGACCACGAGGGTTCAGACTACTGAACGACCACGAGGGTTCAGACTACTGAACGACCACGAGGGTTCAGAACGACCACGAGGGTTCAGAACGACCACGAGGGTTCAGACTACTGAACGACCACGAGGGTTCAGACTACTGAACGACCACGAGGGTTCAGAACGACCACGAGGGTTCAGACTACTGAACGACCACGAGGGTTCAGACTACTGAACGACCACGAGGGTTCAGACTACTGAACGACCACGAGGGTTCAGAACGACCACGAGGGTTCAGACTACTGAACGACCACGAGGGTTCAGAACGACCACGAGGGTTCAGGCTACTGAACGACCACGAGGTTCAGTCTACTGAACGACCACGAGGGTTCAGACTACTGAACGACCATGAGGGTTCAGACTACTGAACGACCACGAGGGTTCAGAACGACCACGAGGGTTCAGAACGACCACGAGGGTTCAGACTACTGAACGACCACGAGGGTTCAGACTACTGAACGACCACGAGGGTTCAGAACGACCACGAGGGTTCAGACTACTGAACGACCACGAGGGTTCAGAACGACCACGAGGGTTCAGTCTACTGAACGACCACGAGGGTTCAGAACGACCACAAGGGTTCAGTCTACTGAACGACCACGAGGGTTCAGACTACTGAACGACCACGAGGGTTCAGTCTACTGAACGACCACGAGGGTTCAGTCTACTGAACGACCACGAGGGTTCAGTCTACTGAACGACCACGAGGGTTCAGTCTACTGAACGACCACGAGGGTTCAGAACGACCACAAGGGTTCAGTCTACTGAACGACCACGAGGGTTCAGTCTACTGAACGATCACGAGGGTTCAGATTACTGAACGACCACGAGGGTTCAGAACGACCACGAGGGTTCAGTCTACTGAACGACCACGAGGGTTCAGAACGACCACAAGGGTTCAGTCTACTGAACGACCACGAGGGTTCAGAACGACCACAAGGGTTCAGTCTACTGAACGACCACGAGGGTTCAGTCTACTGAACGATCACGAGGGTTCAGATTACTGAACGACCACGAGGGTTCAGAACGACCACGAGGGTTCAGTCTACTGAACGACCACGAGGGTTCAGAACGACCACGAGGGTTCAGAACGACCACGAGGATTCAGTCTACTGAACGACCACGAGGGTTCAGAACGAGCACGAGGGTTCAGTCTACTGAACGACCACGAGGGTTCAGACTACTGAACGACCACGAGGGTTCAGACTACTGAACGACCACGAGGGTTCAGTCTACTGAACGACCACGAGGGTTCAGTCTACTGAACGACCACGAGGGTTCAGACTACTGAACGACCACGAGGGTTCAGACTACTGAACGACCACGAGGGTTCAGAACGACCACGAGGGTTCAGAACGACCACGAGGATTCAGTCTACTGAACGACCACGAGGGTTCAGTCTACTGAACGACCACGAGGGTTCAGAACGACCACGAGGGTTCAGACTACTGAACGACCACGAGGGTTCAGACTACTGAACGACCACGAGGGTTCAGTCTACTGAACGACCACGAGGGTTCAGTCTACTGAACGACCACGAGGGTTCAGAACGACCACGAGGGTTCAGAACGACCACGAGGATTCAGTCTACTGAACGACCACGAGGGTTCAGTCTACTGAACGACCACGAGGGTTCAGAACGACCACAAGGGTTCAGACTACTGAACGACCACGAGGGTTCAGTCTACTGAACGACCACGAGGGTTCAGACTACTGAACGACCACGAGGGTTCAGTCTACTGAACGACCACGAGGGTTCAGACTACTGAACGACCACGAGGGTTCAGTCTACTGAACGACCACGAGGGTTCAGTCTACTGAACGACCACGAGGGTTCAGTCTACTGAACGACCACGAGGGTTCAGAACGACCACGAGGGTTCAGACTACTGAACGACCACGAGGGTTCAGTCTACTGAACGACCACGAGGGTTCAGTCTACTGAACGACCACGAGGGTTCAGAACGACCACGAGGGTTCAGTCTACTGAACGACCACGAGGGTTCAGTCTACTGAACGACCACGAGGGTTCAGTCTACTGAACGACCTTTTCAGAAAGAGCCAAGCTCATAATCCTGACTGTGTGGGCGGCCATCTTTGTTTGGGTCGTTTGAGAGCTTAATCTGCAGACTGTAGTTAATCAGGAAGTGAAAGCAGACTACAGACATGATTTGGATCACTGTTACACCACCATCTGCTGCCTATCACGCCGTCCCCCCCTGCTGGGCCACTCTGACCACGTCATGCTCCATTTGATTCCTTCATACAAGCAGAAATTAAAGCTCTGTAAAGCTGTGGAAGAATTAAAGGCGTGCTTAGAGTGTTCTGACTGGGATGTTTTCAGGTCTGCCACTAACAGTCTGGATGAGTACACTGCCAGGACGCACTACGCTGAGTTACAACAACAACAAGCCCTGGTTCACAGATCAACTCAGACGGTTAAGGCAGAAACCGGAGGAGAGTTTTCAAAAGGCTAAATACACCTTCAACAGGGCGGTAAGAGATGCTGTCAACCTGGCCCTCCACCTCATCCTCAAGCATCTGGACTCAGGTGGTCTGTCTGACAGGAGACAGCAGGTGAAGCTGGGTGCCATCATCGATGACAAACTCACCTTCGAGCTCCAAACTGAAGCTGTCATCAGCATGTTCACTTTCTGACGAAGCTTAGGAGTTTGAATGTTGACAGCACTTTTATGAAGATGTTTTATTCCTGTTTCATTGAATCAGTTTTAACATTCTGCATGGTGACCTGGTACGGATCACTCAGCATCAAAAACCACAACAAAATGCAGATCATTGTTAAACTGTGTCAGAATCACAGGCTCACCACTCTGACCTCTTATTTATATAGCACAAAGTGTCTTAAGAAAGCTCTGTAAGATGAGAAGATGAGAATTTAAGTTAATTTAAAATATGATGCATCATTTATAACTTCATGTTATTTCATGTGCATACCAGGGAAACAATGTTAAAAGATTTAAAAACAAACTCATGTTGGTTAATATCATTTTTGCTCCCTCCGATAAAACCTGCATATTGGACCTTTAATTTGGTGAGTCATGTGCGCAGTTGATTGATGCTTTGAGCTGCGGCAGGCACGGGAGCATATCGTTTTCTACGTGTGACAGACTGTAATTTGAAGTTTATTTTTCTTTATTAACGTTTTGAACCGGATTACATCTCCTGTGATTCGCGTCATGGTCCTCATGCTCCTCCTGGCCCTCATGCTGCTCCTGGTCTTCATGCTCCTCATGGTCCTCATGCTCCTCCTGGCCCTCATGCTGCTCCTGGTCTTCATGCTCCTCCTGGTCCTCATGCTGCTCCTGGTCCTGGTCTTGACATGTTGTGATAGTATTGATGAGTTAAATAAACACAAAGGACACATCAAGATAAATAAATGATTTAATAGAATTTTATCTGTTGAAAAGCTCAGATTTCATTTAAACAGAACCCC